AATTTTTTTCTGAAAGTAGGTGGTAGGGTAGGGTAGATCAATAAAATACTATTACCAATGGTATGTGTTCATACTCATTAAGATTCTTTTGGTTGCAAGTAACAGAAACCAGTAAGTAAATGGATCTGGCAAAAAAGGTGGGCATGGGGGGAGAGAAAATTTAGAAATGATTCTGGACTATTTCTCAGAATCCAGTTCTGGTGTGGGTCCCTTAGTTTGAAATTCAGAAGGAGGCACAAACACACAGAGAGAAAGAGGGAGGAGACAAAAGTCATTGTTCACTCTATTCCCACCACCTTCAGTGTCTTTCTGTTTCACCCGTGTGCCTAGCTTATAACCCTTAAAAAGTTCTTCTTTGGGGCGCCTGGGTGGCTCAGTTGGTTAAGCAGCTGCCTTCGGCTCAGGTCATGATTCCAGGGTCCTGGGATCGAGCCCCGCATCGGGCTCCCTGCTTAGTGGAGAGCCTGCTTCTCTCTCTCCCTCTGCCTGCCGTTCTGCTTACTTGTGCTCTCTATCTCTCTGTCAGATAAATAAATAAAATCTTAAAAAAAAAAAAAAAAAGTTCTTCTTTGTGCAGTGGAGTCCCACAGCCCGTAGGGAAGGACCAGTAGTCTGTCAGGTAAATTCAAAAGTAGAGAATCACAAGATGATATTAATATGAATTCTTACTGCCTTAAACATTTTACCTTAAGAGTTCAAATGTACATATAGCCACCAATGTACATGTAGGATAAGGCCTTTGATTTCAGTATAATATGCTGATTGAGCATCTGTTTTCTCTTTCTTGGGAAAATTCAACCCATAATCTAGATTTATTATTAATTTTTTATTTATTAATTTATTTATTATTAATTTTTGCTTCTTAGAAAGGAGCAAATATTTAGACACTGAAACAACATGAATGCAGAATCCTTCTAGACTTTTATGTTTCTCTTCTAATCTCCTGTTATCTCTCCAGTGTTTTGACAGTAGTTTGTTTTTTAAGCAACTTACTTTTTATATTAAGTCTTGCCAAAGCACTAAACCTGGTTTTCATAGAAACATCTCCTTCCCCCATACTTATAATTAATGGGATTATATAATATATAATCAAATTGCATAATAACTAACAGTAAAACTAGCATAAACAAGTTCTAATATAGTTAGAGCAGAAGTGTGTGGGAGTACTAGAGATGAACCTAACTACCCACTATGGGCAAGCTATGGGCATCTGTCACTGTATTTAAAAGAAGGGACTTGAGAACATTGATAATCTAGAAGTGGGGTAAGTGGAGGTCTATTAAAAGTGATTCTGGTGTATTAAAATGATTTATATACCTCCTACTAGACCAGCAGCTCTTAAATATGTGATCTGGAGGGATTCCTGAGACCTTTTCAAGGAACCTATAAAGTCAAAACTATTCATAATAATACCAACCCTTTCTGCCTTTTTCAATTCCGATTTTCTAAATATTTCTTAATTTTAGTTCCTAATATAATAAATAGCAAAAGGTACAACCCACATAAAAGCTCTTCGGGGGCCGGGGCCCTCAATACTTTTTAAGAATCTGTGTCACAGAAGTCATTTGCATGGCTGCACTAGACTCTACTCCTTGAGGACAGGAGCCATGCTTTATATCTTTGTTATTCCTGATGTGTTTCAAGTATTCGTGGTCTTTTAAACTGGCCTAACAAAGTGGTTTCAAGTGAGGGTTCCTGTATTAATGAATATGGTCTGTAATAAACAGCAGTGGTGTCCAAATGGGTGTTTTCAGATGCCTTTATATATATTTTTTTAAGATTTTATTTATTTATTTATTTGACAGAGATCACAAGTAGGCAGAGAGTCAGGTTGGGGGGCCGGGGGAGAAGCAGGCTCAGGGTGCCTGACACAGGGCTTGATCCCAGGACCCTGGGATCATGACCTGAGCCGAAGGCAGAGGCTTTAACCCACTGAGCCACCCAGGCACCCCAAGATGTCTTTAAAATATATTTAATACCTTTCCCCCAAAATCTTAAGCAATGTTTTGAAGAGGAAAAGAAGCATGGTTAGTGGAAAGAATATGGAAACATTTTCCTGTAAGGCTTTTTTAAAAATTGTGAAGGCTTTAAATCTTGCTTAGGAGGTTTTATCATAAGTAAATTGGCTTTTAAAATTTACTTAAAAGGAGTAGGAGAAGAGTAAATGAAGCAAGATGGGATTGGGAGGGAGATAAACCATAAGTGACTCTTTTTTTTTTTTTTTAAAGATTTTATTTATTTATTTGACAGACAGAGATCACAAGTAGGCAGAGAAGCAGGCAGAGAGAGAGGAGAAAGCAGGCTCCCGGCTGAGCAGAGAGCCCGATGCGGGGCTCGATCCCAGGACCCTGGGATCATGACCTGAGCTGAAGGCAGAGGCTTTAACCCACTGAGCCACCCAGGCGCCCCAACCATAAGTGACTCTTAATCTCACAAAACAAACTGAGGGTTGCTGGGGGGCGGGGGGTTGGGAGAAGGGGGGTGGGGTTATGGACATTGGGTAGGGTATGTGCTATGGTGAGTGCTGTGAAGTGTGTAAACCTGGTGATTCACAGACCTGTACCCCTGGGGAAAAAAATATATTATATGTTTATAAATAAATAAATAAATAAATAAATAAATAAATAAATAAAAGATTTTTTAAAAATTTACTTAAAAGGAGAAGGTGGGGCACCTGGGTTGCTCAGTGGGTTAAAGCCTCTGCCTTCGGCTCAGGTCATGATCTCAGGATCCCGGGATTGAGCCCCGCATCAGGCTCTCTGCTCAGCGGGGAGCCTGCTCCCCCCACCCCTTCTCTGCCTGTCTCTCTGCCTACTTGTAATCTCTGTCAAATACATAAGTAAAATCTTTAAAAAAAAAAAAAAAAAGGAGAAAGGGAACAAGCTAACCGAGATGTGGGGTTATTTAAGAGCATCCAGTTAGTGGGAAAATCCATTGCAGATGATTAAGACTTCTCTTTCACTTGAGAAGCACTGGAAAGCTATTTTAGATTTGAAAAGGGGATGTGATGGACAGGAAATTATGGTTTGGGGAAAATGAATTTTATTGCTTTGTGAGAGTGACCTTGATTGGAGAATAGTGATGAGAGTAGTTTCCAAGTTGATATGGGCAGGTGCTTTGAAAACTTACTCTCTCAGGTATTATATGGAGAACATTGACAGCAGATCCTTTAACTAAAAATTAAATTCAGCCTATCTACCTGAAGTACATATTACTTTAAATAAGTGGGGAAACATTCACAGATGGTATTAACAGATAGCTCTTTTAGTATTCAGTGAAACCCCTAGATATATAAGGAAATTGTTTTCGGGATGGTATAGTATTCTAAGTTTGTTTAGTTTTTTTAAAAGGATTGATTTGTGTTTTAATAGAGGACTTTCTCATGCATTTAACATATCTTATACATAGAAATTCCCCAGATCTTGCTATTGTTATACCAGTAATTTTCTAGATAGAACTTTCAGCTTCAGTGGAAATGCAAACTCAAATATAAGATTTGGGAAATTCAGATTTTAATATCAGTCTTACTAAACTGATTAACAAGGGGAAATTATTTTTAGACATTTAAATTTAATACAAAATAATTATGGTTTTGTTTCCTTCCTAACATTTTGGTATAAGGTAGGCATGCTTCGCATCATTGCTTTTTCCAGACATCTGATAGCGTGTGCTTGAGATTAGTTGCATATGTTGCACTGAGGAATTCTTCAACTATTGGATTTCCCATGCATTCAGTTAGGGGCTACAGTAAGGAGTCTCCTGGAATTTGGAGACGAAATCAAGAAAAGTCACCATAAGGAAGATTTTCTAATGTAAATCATGTGGGCGTGGTACAAGCTGCACTCTACATTTTGGTCCATTTATCTGCCCTCCTCCCCCACCCCAGGAAACTGTGTGCTTCTTGGAAAGAGTACTGTGTCTTACTCATCTTTGATTCCAAATGCTTAGATGGTGCCCTTTACATAGTAGGCATTTAGTTAATGTTAGGGGAATGCACGAAGTCATTTGCCCTGAAGAGATGAATCATAAATGCATTGCTGATGAGCCAAAGGATTTCCTGAATCTCTTCTCAAAACCTGGACGAATTCTCATGAAATTAAGACTGAACCATAGCTTCCTAACCATAGTTGTACATTTCCAGACAGTAGGAGAGCTGGTGCCATCATGGGATAGTCTATGAGTACTATTAAGGTCTGTAAGGTGAATTTACCAGTGTTTGGTTCATAGTAGTCACATAGTAAGTGCTAACTGTTGTTTACCTTTTTGGTTTCTCTTTAATTTTGTGTCACCGTCACCTTAAGAATTCTTACTATTGATAGGAAAAATTGCCCCTCTGTTTGGACAAATATCCATAGCAGTTAAAGCTCTAACTTGGACATACCCAAGTTAATAAATCTGCTGGAAAATAGAAGGCAGAGCAACTGGCAGGCAGAAGTGGTACACAGTATAGCCTAGACAGTGTTTAGCCTAGACAACTAGCCTTGCCCAGAATATAGTATTTTCTAGGCTAGCTATTCTAGTCACGGTGTATTCTAGAATTTTATTTGCGTGTGTGTGTGTGTGTGGTCACCCACACATACAGATATATATTACCTTTAATTTTAGTGGTTTAGACTAGCTGGGTTTTCAGAAGTTACTTCTCTGCCAAAGTTGTTGTAGTCTCCACTCCCTTCAAATTTTTTAAAAGTTGATTTTATGCCCTAGTAAGTCACCCTCTTTAGAAAAAGTTAAATGTATAAAAGTTGTATTGGCAAGGGGCTGCAGCAGCCCAGTAAACAAACCTGACAAGCTGTTTTTTACTCACCAAGAGTAAGGTTTTTCTCTATTCTGGCTAATGATGGTACTATAAACTTATAAGTATTCCTTTTGTTCTTTGATTTGTATTATTACCTTTGATTCTAATCATTATTACTGTGGTTAGTATGTTAAGGTAAAATCTTAAAAATGGTCAGGGTTATCTCTGAATACATTTGTTAATTTTTTTTTTCTTTCCATTCAAGACAAACTTTCATTGGAAGGAATAGTGGTACAACGAGCTGAATGCCGACCTGCAGCCAGTGAAAACTACATGAGATTAAAAAGGTTGGTGTTCTTTAACTTTAAGATAATACCCGGTATTTCCTTTTGGGGATTGAAATATGTATATTAGATTGCTTCTTAACTGCATGAAAACTGTGGCTATGTTGAAAGTGTTTTCTTCAAAGGCTGTTTTACTTTAAGACTATGTTAAGAACAAACTTCTAGTTATAAAATAATTAAGTCCTGGGGTTATAATGTACAGCATAGTGACTATAGTTAATATTACTGTTTTGCATATTTGAAAGTTGCTAAGAGAATAGATCTTAAAAATTCTCATCACAAGAAGTAAATATGGTGACATGTTAACTAGACTTATTATGGTGATCATTTTGCAATATATATATTTCAAATCATTATGTTGTATACCTGAAACTAATGTAATGGTATATGTCAATTATACTTCAATTTAAAAAAAAAGAAAAAAAAAACAAGTAAGAATTTCTTTGGCAAGGGAATTTTCAGAACCTGGCTGTGTATTTGGGTTGTTTTAAGCTACTCTCTTAATATAACCTGGAGTCAAACTTTTTATACTTCTTTTTATACTAGTCAACATTATAGATCTTGATTCTCTAAACACATGTAATGTATTTGTACTATTTTATTTTTAAAGGCTATACTTTTTGCATAATGAAATTTCTAAAATACTATACAGTATGAAGCAAGTATAGTTGCTAGAATATCATCCTTTTCTCTTGATTTACAGAGAACTTTTTATAAACTTACTGCTTTGTTAGAGATTTCACATACTATCCTCCCTCCCCCAGTGTTGTATATGGTTAACATTTTGTAATCAGTATTTGAAGATGATGATTGCAAATTCTTGGTACTCCAGTTTTTTGACTTGCAGAGAGCAATTTTTTAAAACCCTGAAGGCTTTTTTTGTTTTAAGTAAATTTTACATCTCCTGTGGGGCTGCCCCAAGATTAAGAGTCATGTACCGTATTAACTGAGCCAGCAAGGCACCCCTTGTTTTATACTTTATATTGAATGTATTTCAGCCTTGTGTACTTCAGAATTGTAAGTTTGTTCATTCAGCACTACCACGTGAAAGAGTAGTGAACAAAACAGGCAAAACTCTGGCCCTTGTGGAACTTACATTTTAGCAGATTATAGCTATCCAGAGCTCATAATGGGGAGCACACTGTTTGGGTGCTAGTGGTAGCCTCTCTGGATAGCAGGGTTCTCACAGCTGGAAGTAGCTGCTTCAGGGACGCCTGGCTGGTGCAGTTAGTTAAGCATCCAGTGCTTGGTTTCAGCTTAGGCGGTGATCTCGGGGTCTTGGGATCAAGCTCCACGTGACATGGAGTCTGCTTAAAGATTCTCTCTCCCTCACTCTCTGCCCTACTCCCCCGCCGCACGTGTGCACGTGCTCTCTCTCGCTCTCTAAAATAAATATATAGCTCTTTAAAAAAAAAAAAAAAGGTGGCTGCTTGAGCTGGATCCTCTGTAATGCCACATCATCTTTTTAATTTCCCTCCTTTCTCAATTAGATTAGAGTGTGTCTCTGAGGAACGAAACAAAAGACTGTTTTCTTGTCCAATAATTCTTCTCATTTAAATGCCTCCCCAGGGCAAGGGAAAGGATGACAAAATGAAAATTTTTTTTTAACTGAAAATAACTTTGGAACACAGGCAGGAGGTGTTTCTGTCTTTGTGTTTAGCCTATGAAGTTGATCATACAGTGTGTGTTTTTGAAGACTTACCATCTTCAAATACCCACTGAAATTGCAAAGTACAAAATCTGGTTACTGAGCTGCTTGCCAAGATCTTTTTTGTGGTCCTAATTTTCCTTAAAGGTTTGTAAAGATTTCTGATGGTGAGATTAGGCAAGTTGCCTGTTATGTTAATGAAATGGCGGCTTTTTTTTCTTACCAAAAGATACAAAAATTGTTCAGCCTTTTGAGTGTGCTAAGAGACCAGCCATTATATATTTAAGTTACTTAAGTGACTTAAGGAAACAGGGTGATTCAGGAGATGATAATCATGTGAGTTTCATAAAATAGACGATACATGACATGTCTTGAAAGATGCACTCATATAAAGACTTGGGGAAGACATTGGGGAACTCTGTGTGAGCCTGGAATGCGGGATTGTTTGAGGCAGGACAAACAGAATCCCCACCCTAAGCCTCTGCTCTGAGCTCCAGACTTGGATATTCAAGAACCTGGTTGAATGTCCACTAGACATTTTAAATACATGAAAAACTGTTCTCCCAGGCTTTCCCCCAAAACCTGCTCTACCAGTGGTCTTTCTCATCTGAGTTAGTACCAACTCTGTTCTCCTGTTTTCTTAATCCAAAAATCTTGGTGACATTTTTGAATCCTCTTTCACACACACATCCAGGGTGTCAGAAAAGTCTTACTGACCGTACCTTCAGATTATTACACATCTACAAGTCTGTTTCTCACCACCCACATGATCTGCCATGAAGTCTCACCCAGATCACTGCAGTAGCCTCCTAGCAGCATTCCTTCTTCTGTCCCTGCCCACTCTGGTCTGCTGCCAGTGCAGGAGTCAGAGCAGTTCTTCCAGAATCTGTCAAGTCATGCCATTCCTCTGCTCACTGGTCACTCACAGTGCTTCCTTCATTACTCAGAGTAAAATTCAAGTCCTTCCAGTTCTCTGCAGCGATCGACGTGATCATGCTTCTACTTCTTCCCACTTCTCCCCATCCTTAGCTCCTCTCCCTTCATTCCCCCTTTACTTACTCTGAGCTCCTAGCAGTCCTGAGCACTCTAGACACTTCCTTATCAGGGCCTTTACACCAGATTTTCTTTTCTACTGGGAACATCCTTTCTGTAGAAAACTGCATAGCTCACTCCGTGCCTCTTTCAAGTCTCTTCTGAGATTCTGTTTTTCCAATAAGGTCTACCCTGACCAACCTACTTCTTTCTATACTTTTATTTTCTTATAGACCATACCATTCATAATATACTATGTAATTTACTTGTATTTCTTGCCAGCTTTGCCCTAGTGTAGTTTAAACTTCCATGGTTGGTTCTTTGCTGTGTATGTGTATGCATGGACACACGTGCACACAGTCATCTATTTTGTTCATTTATACACACACACAACCCCAGATGTTTAAAATAGTTCGTGACAGGGCACCTGGGTGGCTCAGTCGGTTAAGCATCTGCCTTTGGCTCAGGTTATGATTTCAGGGTCCTGGGATGAACCCTGCATCTGGCTCTCTGGCAGGGAGTCTCCTTCTTCCTCTCACTCTGCCCTTCCCACACACCCCTTTTCCCCCACTCATGCTCACACTCGCTCTATTGTGCGTGCTCTCTCCCCCTCTCAAATTAAAAAAAAAAAATAGTTCATGACATGTAGTAGGTGGTCAGTATTTTTTTGAGTGAATAAGGGGCAAGAGATAAGGCTTAAAATATTGAAGATCTTTATATTCTTGCTAAATTATCTGTTAGAGAGTCTTAATATGCTTTGGTAAGGAATTTGGACTCTGTGCTGTGGCCGTTAGGGAGGCACTGAAGAATTCGAAGCTGTATGGAGAGCAAAGAGATTTCTGTTTTGGATAGGTCATCCTGGCCATAATGTAAGACCAAAAGCGGGGAGGTAAGCTAGAGGCTGATGTAATAACCCACGTACAAAATGTCTAAGTGACTAAACAAAGTGGTTCTAATCAGAAGGGAAATGAAAGACAAAGTTTTGAGGATATTTGGAGGTAGAGTCAATAGGACTTAGGAACTCATCTCCTACTTAAGTGGTCATGGGACAGGGGATTTCTCTAGGACCAGACTGATGGTGGTGGCTCTTGTGTTGTGGCTTGGATGCACTTACGTTACGAATCCTCAGACTGATGAAGGGAGAGGGACAGGAGAGACCATAGAGCTTCCATGTCCATGTTAATGTAAATCTTGGTTGACAGTTTACATTAAAACTTAAAAAAGCAGAAAGTACTTAACCTGCAAGAAGAATAATGATGGGTAGATTAATCAAAATAGGAAAGTAATATAAGCTGTAAGTTGTATCTCATGTACAACTGACATTTGAACAATGAGGGGTTGGGGTGTCCGCCCTTTGCACAGTTGAAACTCTGCATGTAACTTTCGACTTCCCAAAACCACTACTAGTAGCTACTGTTGACTGGAAGCCTTACCAATAACATAGTTAATACATATTTTATATGTTATATGTATTATTACTGTATTCTTACAATAAAGTAAGCCAGAGGAGAAAAAAATGTTAAGAAAATCATAAGGAAGAAAAAATACATTTATGGTACTGCACTGTAAAAAAAGAAAATCCATATATAAGTGGACCTGTGCAGTTCAGACTTACACCATTCAAGGGTCAACCTGTATTTTGTTTATCGTTACTTAACATTTTCACATGTGTCATGAGATCATGGAGGTAAGGCTCAATTTTAAAAAATCACTAGTTAACTGTTCTTGCTCCAGATAGTTTACAGTTGTTTGTTTGTTTTTTAAGATTTTATTTATTCATTTGAGAGAGAGAAAGAGCATGAAAGGGAAGACGTCAGAGGGAGAAGCAGACTCCCTGCTAAGCAGGGAGCCTGTGATGAGACTCAATCCCAGGACTCCAGGATCATGACCTGAGCTGAAGGCAGTCGCATAACCAACTCAGCCACCCAGGCACCCTATAATCTGGGGTGTGTGTGTGTGTGTGTGTGTGTGTGTTTTCCTTCAGGTTCGGGAGTTTACAGTTTTTGAAACTGAAGGAAAACACACACACGCACATGCACACAACCAGATTATCCAAAACGTCTGTTTACTGACCATATAGTTGCAAGAATAGAAATATAGTTGTGCTTTTGATTAGTGGACAGGCAGATATCCCGATGGAGGTGACATCAAAGTAGAAGTGTTTGAGAACAGAATTGGCAGGTCAGTATTTAAGATATCTGGCACCTGGATATTTCACACATACACTCCAAAGTTTTCAGGGCCTCCTTCTGACTGCCTGGTCCCATTTAATGGTATTTGAGTTTTTGGATAATCTGGCTCTTGTCTCACTTTTTGGCTGTAT